TTTGCACCATATTTTTGTATGGTATTTATTGTTGTATTCTAGTTTTCCTGGTCTCATTGTATAGAATTGAATGCATATTACAGAAATTGAGATGATTTTGACTGGTTTTACAATGAAAAGTACCTTGAAATTGAGCTCAAAGTAGCAGAAATGTTCGGTTTTTCCAAAGTTCAAAAGTAAACAAATAATGCTAAGCGTCCAATACAAGTCAACTGGTGAGTATAATATTCTTTCTCAAGTGCTCCGATATTATTTATACCATTTCTACACTAATGCAGTAGTCTGCATAACAGTAAATCATATTTTTTTTGTGAGAATAAAAAATCAAAGTGGAAAAAATGTAAGAGGGGCCTGGGGACATGACTAATGAACAGAGGAAATGTTATTTTAGTGCCAGGAATGTCTTTCTTGTTTTTTCTGGACCCTATTTGGAAATTGGCATCTTTCAAAATTTGTGTGAAACTGGCAAAATTGCTAAATTCTGACCACTGTATTGGATAGTTGAAATCAGTAAATTGGTGGTTTCTTGTACTCATTCGATAGAAAAAATGGAGTTCTAGCAAAATAGTTATGATTTTTGTCGACTAGTACATTGGAATTGGCCGAAAATAGGGCTCAAAACGGGCAAAATCGCCGATGTGTAAACATCGTCAAGACCACTAACTTATGCAGGAGCATAATTCCGTAAGTTTTTCATAAAATTTTATACTTTTGGTGTCATTATGATCGGAAAAAAATTCTCTATCTTTTCATAATTTTTTTTTTTTTTCAATTGGGGTACCCTGAGAACAAGTCACTGAGAGGGCTTGTGGACCCTGAAAGGGTTAAAAGCATGTGATAGGGGCTTCTTGCAGTTCTTGATGAACACAGAGTTCCATGGGTCTGGGCCTGGGACAGAGTGCATGGGCATGTCATTTATCGCCTGTTCAAAGTCATTTGGCATCAGGATAACATCAGATAGGCTTGTGTTTACCAAATTCTGTTGCACTCTCATAAAAACTTCATTTAGGTCTTCGATTCTTAGTCTGGTTAGTGGCTTGCTAAAAACTGAGTCATACTGGGACTTGAGTAGCTCACCCATTTCCTTGCTGTCATCTATGTAGAACCCATCTTTGTTAAGTAGGGGCCCAATACTGGATGTTGTTCTCCACTTTAACCCTTTGAGGGTCGACAGGCCCTCTCCGAAACTCGTTCTCAGGGTCGGCCAAATTTCAAAAAAAAAAAAAATTATTTTTTCTTATGAAAAAATAGTTTTTTTTTTTAAACATTATAGGATAAACAAAAAAAATTTACCATCAATACTTACGGAGATATGGATGCATGAAGTTTGCAGAAAATGAGCCGCGTATGGCAACAGCGGCGACTGCCGCTCACCCGGTAAACTTTAGTTTACTTGTATTTGAAGGTTTGTTGTTTTTTTCACTATTTTATTTTTTCACATAACTTATGTGGCCTGTGAGACCAAAGTAAGGTGCAATGTACATATATACACTCGTTGTATACAACACAATAAGCACACAAACACAATTATCAATATATTGTTTACAAAACTTGTTTACAAAAACAAACAATACAAAACATTGTTTATTATTATTGTTCTATAATATATATACCAATATACAGTCACTGAACATATTCCTATTAGTTCTGCAGCTTGTGGAACTCTGAAACATGGTGTCATACACAATGGTGTTTTATCTTCTCCCTCATTCTATCTCTTTCAATCTGTCTCTCTCTTTCTATCTGTCTATCTATCTCTGTCTCACAGGTACACATAAATACAAGTATACATAGTATAAATTACCTAGGATAACCCAAGAAATCCAGACAAAGTGCTATACTCTGCTTGAAGATGTGAGTAAAAATGATGACACAGTCTTGTGGCTCTCTGAGACAGAGAGCTAGACGGATAGACAGATAGACAGGGAGCTTGACAGACAGACAAATAGACAGACAGAAATGTTAGTGTACCAGTACCAGTGTACTAGTGTTCCACCCTCCTCCTCCTCTTCTTCCTCTTCCTCCTCTTCCCCCTACTCTTCCCTCATACTCTTCCTCTTCCTCCTCTTCCTCTTCCTCCTACTCTTCCTCTTCCTCCTCCTCCTCTCCTCCTCCTCCTCTTCTTCCTCTTCCTCCTACTCTTCCTCCTCCTCCTCTTCTTCCTCTTCCTCCTCTTCCCCCTAATCTTCCTCGTACTATTCCTCTTCCTCCTCCTCTTCCTCTTATTCCTCTTCCTCCTACTCTTCCTCTTCCTTCTCCTCCTCTTCCTCCTCCTCCTCCTCTTCCTCCTCCTCCTCTTCTTCCTCTTCCCCCTACTCCTTCTCCTCCTTGTCCATAGTGTAAAAATTTCAAGGAGTCCGCAGCTGTCAAAGTGACATATTGGCTCATTACTCTTTCCCCCTCGCCTGTCAAAACAATGGGGTCGGATGCTGCTTCCCCTCCTCCATTCTATCTAATTATCTTTCTCCCTCATTCTATCTGTCTGTCTATCTCTGTCTCACAGGTACACATAAATACAAGAATACATGGTATAAATTACCTAGGATAACCCAAGAAACCCAGACAAAGTGCTATACTCTGCTTGAAGATTTGAGTAAAAGTAATGACGCAGTCTTGTGGCTCTCTGAGACAGAGAGCTAGATGGATAGACAGGGAGCTTGACAGACAGGCAAATAGACAGACAGAAATGTTAGTATACCAGCAAAAACAAAGGGAGGGCGATGTTCATCTCATCTTTTGGCATCAGCTCTACCCTCATTTACCCTCATCAAACGTCAGCACTTATCAGATGTTATCTCCCCTTATCTTGTTACTGTCATGGGTGAACATTTATTATTACATATTATTATTATTACCTATTATTATTATTATGTATTATTATTATTATTATTATTATTATTATTATTATTATTATTATTATTATTATTATTATGTATTATTATTATTATGTATTATTATTATTATGTATTATTGTTATCATTACGTATTCTTCTTCTTCCTCCTCCTCCTCCTCCTCCTCCTCTTCCTCCTCCTCCTCTTCTTCCTCCTCCTCCTCCTCCTCCTCTTCTTCTTCCTCCTCCTCCTCCTCCTCCTCCTCCTCCTCTGCCTCCTCCTCCTCTTGCCTCCTCCTCCTCTTGCCTCCTCCTCCTCTTGCCTCCTCCTCCTCTGCCTCCTCCTCCTCCTCCTCCTCCATTCTTGGAACAAGTTTGAAGAGCTTGTAGTTCATAATCACTATCATTATCATCACCAATGCTCACATCTGAGTCTGGGATTTTGGGAAATAGGAGTTTCCTCTTTCATTCTGGTACAACTGAACGACGGCCCAGCACCAGAGGTGGAAGGCTGTGGGTTGTCTGGGTTTTCCTCACTATTACCCATATTATGGTCATTAGTTTCGGTCAAAACCTCACCAGAACCTTGAAACTCATCTTCACTGTCACCTTCCATCTGTATAGAACTGTCACTGGGGAACAAAAGTGTCCCAATTCGCCGAGGAGTGAGGATTATTATTATTATAATCAAGGGGGAAGCGCTAAACCCAGAGGATTATACAGCGCCTGGGGGGGGGATGTGGAAGGCATTCAGGCTTAATTTGGGGAACTGGAGCACAGATCCAATTCCCTAAATCAAGAGCCCCTCACCAACATCAAGGAACCTTCCTTGAGGGACGAGGAGTGAGGAACTTCTTACCACAGGGCACGGTGGAAATTGTGTACTATGATGGCATTCCCACAATGCACCACTGGGTCCCAGATTTTTTTCCTACTGCGCACACCCACCACACAGACCCATTCTCTCACATCTAGGCTTATCAGCCTTTTCCTGTGAGATTTGAGGCCGCTAGAATTTATGCGTACTAGTACGACAAAAACCCCTACGCGTAAGACGTACTAGTACGACGAAAACCCTCAAAGGGTTAATTTGGCATAAGAAAAGAAATACTTTGGGTTTCTTTCAATTTCATTTATGGCTTTTAGTTCTTCCTGCAATTCCTGACTCCACAGTAGTGGAGAGTGTAGGTGAAGGTGGGTAGATGCTGGTACAGTAGTGTGTGGAGAGCGTGGGTGTAGGTGGGAAGGTGCTGGTACGATAGTGGAGAGTGTAGTTGTAGGTGGGTAGGTGCTCGTACAATAGTGTGGAGAGTGTGGGTGTAGGTGGGTACGTGCTGGTACAGTAGTGGAGAGTGTAGGTTTAAGTGGGTAGGTGCTGGTACAATAGTTTGGAGAGTGTGGTGGTACAGTAAGAGTGGTAGTGTAATAAAGTACCAGGAAAGTGTGGTGGTACAGCAACAGTGGTAATCTAATAAAGTACCTGGAGAGTGTGGTGGCTCAGTAAGAGTGGTAGTGTAATAAAGTACCTGGAGAGTGGTGGTGGTACAGTAAGAGTGGTAGTGAAATAAAATACCTGGAGAGTGTGGTGGTACAATAAGAATGGTAGTGTAATAAAGTACCTGGTGAGTGTGGTGGTACAGTAAGAATGGTAGTGTAATAAAGTACCTGGTGAGTGTGGTGGTACAGTAAGAGTGGTAGTGTAATAAAGTACCTGTGAGTGTGGTGGTACAGTAAGAGTGGTAGTGTAATAAAGTACCTGGAGAGTGTGGTGGTACAGTAAGAGTGGTAGTGTAATAAAGTACCTGGTGAGTGTGGTGGTACAGTAAGAGTGGTAGTGTAATAAAGTACCTGGAGAGTGTGGTGGTACAGTAAGAGTGGTAGTGTAATAAAGTACCTGGAGAGTGTGGTGGTACAGTAAGAGTGGTAGTGTAATAAAGTACCTGGAGAGTGTGGTGGTACAGTAAGAGTGGTAGTGTAATAAAGTACCTGGAGAGTGTGGTGGTACAGTAAGAGTGGTAGTGTAATAAAGTACCTGGAGAGTGTGGTGGTACAGTAAGAGTGGTAGTGTAATAAAGTACCTGGAGAGTGTGGTGGTACAGTAAGAGTGGTAGTGTAATAAAGTACCTGGAGAGTGTGGTGTACAGTAAGAGTGGTAGTGTAATAAAGTACCTGGATAGTGTGGGCGTGGGTGGGTGGTGGTTGGTGCTGGAGAACGTGGAGATACAGTTGGCCATCTTGTAAAGTTATCCTGGAGTAGCGGAGGTCATCTTGGTCTTGCTGGACACCAAACACCAGGCCAGCCTCCACCAGCCTCTTGACGCTCTCACTCATCTCACGAAGATGATCAATCTGTGGACAGTTACCACCATTATCACCTCTTCAGAGTGTCACTACCATTATCACCTGTGTACAGTATCTCTACCATTATCACCCATGTGCAGTCTCAGCATCATTATTACAAGTGTATAGTGTCACTATCATGTAGAGTGTCAGCACCATTATGACAAGTGTCCAGTATCACTATCACCCATATACAGTGCCAGCACCATTATCACAGGTGTACAGTGTTATGATGTTTGCTTCAGCATGATAGTGTTTGAACAAAGGAGAATGACTAAAGCCACTATATATGCAGAACATTTTGGCCAAACTTAAGATTAATAAAGCAATAACAATACAGAGTAAATTTATGTGTTTACAATGAATAAAATATAAGTGAATATTGTATTAGTTCAGACTACATGACTTTAACAAGTTTACTTGAGGGGAATTACAAGTTTCATTATAAACCTAAAGTGTACACAATTGTTTAATGATTGTGAGAGTTACAGATACGGTTGACCCTCGATTTTTGTGATTAATCTGTTCCAGAGAGTCTACCAAAAGTCGAAATTCATGAGAATCGAAACCATTTTTCTCATAAGAAATAATGTAAATCCTATTAATCTGCTCCAGACACCCAAAAATAATTTTTTATGGAATAATATAACTTACAAAATCGTAATGACACGATTGCAAACAAACCATACCCCGGCCGGGATTGAACCCGCGGTCAGAGAGTCTCAAAACTCCAGCCCGTCGCGTTAGCCACTAGACCAGCTAGCCACAATAAGAATCTTATTGTGGCTAGCTGGTCTAGTGGCTAACGCGACGGGCTGGAGTTTTGAGACTCTCTGACCATGGGTTCAATCCCGGCCGGGGTATGGCTTGGATTAATATAGATTTACATACATAAAGGAATGAGAAATCAATATAAAGCAATAATAAAATGTATAAAAGATCATTTAACATCACACTTACCTTTATTGAAGACTCTTTTTGGTGTATGGAAGACGGGAGGAGGGGAGAGGGATAGGGTGATGTTCCTCCACAAATGTTTGCACTTCGCCCCACTTTGCAAAATGTCTTTAATCTTTAACCCTTTGAGGGTTTCGGACGTACAGTGGTCCCCCGCTTTTCGTAGTTCCCGGCAATTGTAAAATTCGCCAATCATAGGGGGTATTTTCATATAAACATGGACTTGCTTTTCATAGGTGGACTTGCGAGTCATAGTTCGTCTGGGATGCGTACCCATGGCGTGAGCCGGGGCGGCAGCCAGTCTGGCATTGTTTACCAGTGAGTGAAGGTCCCCTCACGTGCTCCAGCGAAATATTTCATAATATTCCATTTATTTTAGTGCTTGCAAGTACTAAATAAGCTACCATGGCTCTAAAGAAAGCTCCTAGTGCCAAGCCTGTGGTAAAGAAGGTGAGAAATATGATTGAATTTAGGAAAACCATCATTGAACAATATGAAAGTGGTACAAGTGTGGTCAAACTGTCCAGGATGTATAAGAAACCATACACAACCTTATGTTCCATAGTGGCCAAGAAAAAGGAAATAAAGGATGCTGTTGTTGCAAAGGGAGTAACTACATGCTGACAAAAATGAGATCACCAGTACTGGAAGAGGTTGAGAAGTTATTATTGGTGTGGATAAATGAGAAACAATTAGCAGGAGATACTCTTATGACTTCGATTATTTGTGAAAAGGCTAGGCAGCTGCATGAAGATTTGGTAAAGAAATTGCCTGCAAATAGTGGTGAAGTGAGTGAATTTAAGGCCAGCAAAGGCTGGTTTGAGAGATTTAAGAACCGTACTGGCATACACAGTGTGGTAAGGCATGGTGAGGCTGCCAGTTCGGACCACAAGGCGGCTGAAAAATATGTGCATGAATTCCAGGAGTACATAGAGGCTGAAGGACTGAAACCTGAACAAGTGTTCAATTGTGACAAAACAGGCCTCTTTTGGAAGAAAATGCCAAAGAGGACCTTCATACACAAGAGAAAAGGCAATGCCAGGACACAAGCCTATGAAAGACAGGCTGACGCTAATGTTCTGTGCTAATGCTAGTGGGATTTCAAAGTGAAGCCATTACTAGTGTACCATTCTGAAAATCCCAGAGTGTTCAGGAAAAACAATGTTATGAAGAGTAATTGTGTGTGTTTTGGAAATCTAATAGTAAGGCATGGGTCACGAGGGAAATTTTCGTCGAGGGGTTCAATGAAGTGTTTGGCCCTAGTGTGAAGGAGTATCTCCTGGAAAAGAAATTGGATCTCAAGTGCCTGCTAGTAATGGACAATGCACCTGCTCATCCTCCAAACTTGGATGACCTAATTTTCGAGGAGTTTGGGTTCATCACAGTAAAGTTCTTGCCCCCGAATACCACTCCTCTCCTCCAACCCATGGACCAGCAGGTTATTGCAAACTTTAAAAAACTCTACACAAAAGCAATGTTTCACAGGTGCTTGACTGTGACCACAGACACTCACTTGACCCTAAGGGAATTTTGGAGAGAACACTTCAGCATCCTCCACTGCATAACCCTTATAGGTATGGCTTGGGAGGGAGTGACTACCAGGACTTTGAACTCTGCCTGGGGAAAATTGTGGCCAGATTGTGTCGACAAGAGGGATTTTGAAGGATTTGGGACTGACCCTAATGAGCCTATGTCTGTTGTAAAATCAATTGTGGCACTTGGGAGTTCCATTGGGTTGGATGTGAGTTTGGAGGATGTGGAAGAATTGGTGGAAGACCACAATGAAGAGCTCACCACTGAGGAGCTGCAAGAGCTTCAGCAGGAAGAGCAACACATCGCAGCTCAGAATCTTGCTGCAGAGGAGGAGGAAGAGAGATGGAAGAAGGTGCCTTCTTCAGAAATTAAAGAGATTTTTACTATGTGGGGTAAGATGGAAAGCTTTATGGAGAAACATCACCCTAACAAGGTTGTTGCAAGCCAGGTTGGCAACATGTACAGTGACAAAGTCTTGGGCCATTTTAGGGAAGTGTTAAAGAAGCGCCAGAAACAGAGCTCTCTCCACAGTTATTTTGTGAGACAGGACTCCAGTGACTCTCAAGGTGGTCCTAGTGGCATTAAGAAACAGAGAAGAGAAACAACCCCAGAAAAGCAAATGATACCTGAGGTGTTGATAGAAGGGGATTCCCCTTCCAAACTATAAACAATCCACTCTCTCTCCTCCTCCAGTCTCCCATACACTAAGAAGAATCTCCAATAAAGTAAGTGTTATGCTGTTAATGTTTCATTCATCATTTCCCACTGTATTGTTTATGTACTACATGTACATTTCATGTTAAAAAATTTTTTGTTTTAATACTTCTGTGTGTCAGGAACAGATTAATTGTATTTACATCATTTCTTATGGGGAAAATTGATTTGTAAATCGTAAATTTCATTTATAGTAATGGCTCCAGGAACGGATTAATTACGAAAAACGAGGGACCACTGTACTAGTATGGCTTACGTGCAGGGGTTTTTGACGTACTAGTACGCATAAATTCTAACCGTCAAATCTCATGGGAAAAGGCTGGTAGGCCTAGATGTGAGAGAATGGGTCTGTGTGGTCGGTGTACATGGCAGAAAAAAAAATCTGGGACCCAGTGGTGCATTGTGGGAATGCCATCTTAGTACACAATGTCCACCATGCCTCACGGTAAGAAGTTCCTCACTCCTCGGCGAATTGGGACACTTTTGTTCCCCAGTGACAGTTCTAATACAGATGGAAGTGCCAGTGAAGATGAGTTTCAAGGTTTTGGTGAGGTTTTGACCGAAACTAATGACCATAATATCAGTAATAGTGAGGAAAACCCAGACGACCCTCAGCCTTCCACCTCTGGTGCTGGGCCGTCTTGTTCACGTTCAGTTGTACCAGAATCAAAGAGGAAACTCCTATTTTCCCAAATCCCAGACTCAGATGTGAGCATTTGTGATGATAGTGATAGTAATTATGAACTACAAGCTCTTGAAAACAGCTCCAGTAGTGATAGTGAAGTGGAATATTCCCCAGTGAAGGGGTCCAGTCCCTGGACCCATTATGTACCTTTGTAATCTTTTGACTACCGCCCACAGGATGGGTATGGGGTGCATAATAAAGATATTAAACTAACTAACCCCAGTGAAGCATCAGTATATACAATGATATATGCGCTCTGGTAGTGTGCCATATGCTATTCCAAGGGGAAGGAGTACATCTCGGAGTGCATCCCATGGCTATACAACAGGAACAGACAGTGAAAATGACGATGATAGTGTTGCAATTGGGATGGAAAATGTGCATGGTGGTGGTGGTGATGGCCGTGAGACACCAGCAGTGGGCCATGATGCCACCCACGCCGCTGCCTCAGCTGATCTACAACAAAGGCCACCATCCCCCACCCACCCACCACACCAGCCTCCACAACCACAACCTCCACAACCACAACCACCTGTCATTGTCCAGTACCCACCAGCAGACCGCACCTGGGATTGGCAGGAAGCTGTCAATATTGTTCCAAATGCCCACCAGTTTGATGACAGCCAAAGTGGAATACGGCCATCTTGTACACTTGGGAACAATGCCAATGAACTGGAATGTTTCGAGTTATTCTTTGACGAACCCTTGATGGAAAGTATTGTCATGGAAAGCAACACATACTACGAGTACACCATGGCAAACACAATACTTTCACCAAAATCACATCTACACCAGTGGAAGGAGGCAACTGTGGCTGAGATGTATCATTTCTTTGCCACAATAATGCTTATGCCACATGTGCATAAGCACAAAGTGAAATCATACTGGTCAACAGACCGCCTGATTGCAACCCCAGGTTTCAGTGATATAATGCCAGTGAATCGATTTGTGCTAATGTTACGTATGCTTCACTTCTCAGACAAAACCAGGCCTGACAGAAACAACAGGTTATATAAGATTAGGCATGTGTTTGTATATCTGAAAGAGAAATTCAATATGTATTTTTATCCCATCAGGAAGCTTGTAATTGACGAGTCTTTGATTCTGTTCAAAGGAAGAC